GCTCGCCACTCCCTGGAAAAGCTCATAATTCTTGCGATTTGGGTTAGTTTAGCTTTGATTTGATGGTACTACCTCAGATGCTTTTACAGATACCTTACGTACTAGGATAAAGCCATACACGATCCAAACCTACCCATAAACAAAGATATTTCAAGCAAATGCAAACCTCAACCCAACACCCAGACCAGCCGCCCTAGCAACCGACGCCCCTGCCTTTGCCGAACCAGCAGCCGAGGCTCGGAAACCACCCGAACCAGCCCGAGGCACCGACAGGCGCAGGGTGGGAGCAGCAAGGGAGCGGGTGTGAGTGAAGGGCGTGCAGTAGGGCAGAGAGGAGGGAATTGCGAGCCTGTGAGGGAGAGCTCGGGTCTTGTACTGGGTCTTGCGTGTTGAGGGACCAGAGGGAGAGGTGAGAGAACCAGCTGTTGAAAGGAGAAACAAGGGAAGGAGGGATTGGAGAAGCGGGAAAGGAGAAATAATTAGCGGGCTGGTACTCTGAAACAAGCAAGAAAGGGATCATAGTATTGTGGGTTTCCGCAAGAGTTTGATCGCTCTCTGTGGACTTGCGTGAGTTTTTCAAATAATTCCACTTACTGCAGATAAGGTCGTTATTGCCGCCATCCAGAGTACACTCCTTTACGTCCTGTAGTCCCACCAAGTCCGCCGCTCCATTGCCACTTGTCGCCACCCCATTCGTCGACGCCTTCTCCTTGGTAACTGCACCCCTGGGCTCCCCATCCGCAGCATCCTCCATAAAAGCCACCCCGAATTCCGCCACTACACCATCAGCTTCCTCCAAAGCAGACAGCATACCGTCCAAAGAAACACAGCACACCGGCACCTGCGGAACCACATACTCCCCCACCCCTTCTCCTCCCTCCGCCACACTCCCTCCCCACCCTCCCGCTCCTGCCGCTGCCACCTCATTATCACTCTCGCAGCTGCTCTCCTCCTCTCCCTCCTCCTCCCCACTGTCACTGCTCGTGGTCGTGCTCTCATAGCAGCAGTGGGTCCCCCGGTACTTATCCAAAAGCTTAAACGCGTTACTGTTATAAAAGTCCGTGAACTGTAGCAGCAGGCTCGGGTTCCACACGCGCACAGCGCCCAGCAGCTCCGCCAGGATATCATTGTAACGAGACGGCTTCAAACGCGGATGGCTCAGCCCCCTGTAACCAGAACCAGCCGCCAACAGCTCAGGGTTATCCGTACCCGTATCCAGGCACACCAAAAGACACCTGCTCGGATCCAGATTCGGCCACGCAGCCGCTGCAGAGGAGAAGAGAGTCGCCATGCTGTCACTACTAGCGCCGCTACCGTTACCGTTACCACTGCTGCTGCTGTTGCCCGTGTGGCCCAGCACGATTTCCGCATCCACCACCAGAACCGCATCCACGTCCTTCCCCACCTCCGCGCGCTGCTCTCCCCACCGCTGCAGCCGCTGCAGCATCTGCCCGCGGTCCTTGCCCGTCAGGTACACCCCGCGCATCTCCTTCAACCCCGCGCCAGCACCAGCAGCAGCCACGCCATTAGCAGCGCCAGCGGCGGCGGCGGGGAGCGCGGAGGGCTTGATGAAGACGGCGACGCCGTTTTCCTTGAGGCGGCGGTCGAGCAGGTACTGCTGAAAGTCGCGACACATGTCCGCCAGCTCCGCCATGTCGCCCGCGCTCACCTGTGCTCGGGGGGGAAGGGCGCGGAGGGAGGGGATAATCGTGAGAACACTCGAAAGTGATAGCGAAAGATATTAGCAGGTACTGCTGCAAGTCGCGGCGCCCGTGTCCGCCATGTCCCCGCCATGCCCCCCGCGCTCACCTCAACCTCCGGTCCCCCCGGCATGTGCAGATGCTGATGCACCACGTCTTGCAGCTGACTCTGCTCCGCCTGCGCCGCGCCCGCGCCTGTCCCCGCGCCTGCGCCTGCGCCCGCGCCCGCCCAGCCCTGGAGCTCCTCCGAGTCGCTGGGGACAGCGGGGAGCGCGAGCGGGCCGTGCGGGTGCGGGTGGTACATGCTCGCGCGCGCGTGGCGCTCCCACTCCGCCACAGTCCCCGCGCCCACCGCGGGCGGTGGGGTGCCCAGCCCCTCCGCCACCATGAACTCGGATATACGCGCTATAAGCAGCGGCACGAGCGCCTGGCGGAAGGAAGGACCAAGGGGAAGGGCGCGGAGGGGGGGGAGAGCCGGGGTGAAGATAGTGAGTGTGAGCTGTAACTCATGTGTAACTCATGTGTAACTCATGTGGGCACAAGAAGTGTTTACTGTTAAAAGCGATGAGTTCTTATCCTTGTTCGTGATAAAGGTGAGCGGCGCGTTCTTACCTTCATGGCGGAGAGCGAGGGGAAGAGCATTCCGCGGTCCAGGTGCGCCTGCGGCGTGAGTTGCGCCAGAAATTCCGCGGTCGACAGGAACACGTCGTCCGTGATGCTGCTGCACCTCGTTAAGAGCGCCGCCATGCCGATCGGCCCGAACACGTACGCGTTATTAGCCTGCGCGGGGTACATCGTCACCTTCCCGCCGCCCGGCTCCGCCGATTCCGCCACGAGCGGCGGAAACGGGCTTCCGCTCGCGAACACCACGCGCCCGCCCGTGTATTTGAACGCCTCTTTATAAGAACACTCGGCCTTGGACGTGGGGTTCGAGAGCGGGAAGATGACGGGCCGCTCGTTATAAACGCCCATCGCTTCAACCACCTCCTTGGAAAACGCGTTCGCCTGCGCCGACACGCCGATCAGCACCGTCGGTCGAAACTCATGGACGGCCGAGATTAAATCCGGCTGGTACGGCAGATCGTGCGCGAACGGGATCTTATGATCCTGCAGCTCTCCTTTCAACTCGCGCTCCTTGCACACGAGGCCTTTGGAGTCGATAAACAAGCACCGCTGCCGCGCCGCGTCGAGATCCATTCCGCACCGTCGATTCATCGCCTGCGCGATCAGCTGCGCGATCCCGGTCCCCGCCTCCCCCGCGCCGAGGAACAGAATCCGCTGCTCCTCCAGTGGCCGCCCGGTAACGCGGAGCGCGGACAGCAGCCCCGCGAGCGTGATGCACGCCGTGCCCTGGATATCGTCGTTGAAGCAGCATTGCGTGTGCTGGTAGCGCTCCAGCAGCCGAAACGCGTTGCAGTTGCCGAAATCCTCGAATTGCAGCAGCACGTGCGGCTTCAACGTGCGCGCCGCGGTCATCAACTCGTCGACGAGTTCATCGTACTCCGGACCGCGCAGCCGCCGCTGCCGCAAGCCCTTGTACGCCGGATCCGCTAGAAGCTTCTCGTTATTAGTCCCCACATCCAGCATCACCGGCAGGGCGCGGCGCGGATCTAACCCCGCCATCGCGGTGTAAAGCAGGATCTTACCCTCGCTGATCCCCATCCCCCCCGCGCCCTGGTCCCCGAGGCCCAAGATCCTCTCTCCGTCCGTCACCACGATCGCGCGAATGCCGCTGTGCGGGCATGCGGCGCGGAGGCGCTCCAGAAAGTGACCCTTATCCGCCGCCGTGAGGTAGATACCATTAGGAATGATCCCGAGCTCGTGGTAACGTTGGCATGCCTCCCCGACCGTTGGGGTGTAAATGTACGGAAGAACCTCTTCAGTATGGTCCATTAGTAGACGGAAGAATAACTCCTCGTCCGCCTCGCGCGTCGCGCGGAGGTACATGTAACGGTCGATGTCCTTCGGAAGCGCGTCGAGCGCGGAGAGCACGGCTTGCTCCATGGTCTCGCATTCCGCCTCCTCCTCCGGGGATTCCGCCAGCTGATCCGCGTTGACCAGCGCGACTTTTGTCGGTAGCGGCGCGGAGAGCTGGCAGAGCGAGCCGACGTACGTCGCGGCGGGAGTTGCGGATGCCATCGCGCGCCCGTTGCCGTTATTCGCGCTGCCGTTTGTGGGGATTGCTTTGTCTGCCGAAGATGTGGAGGGCTTCACAGCCGGATCGGCAGCGGGGGATCCGTCAGCCGGCGCCATTGTCCGATTCTAAAGCGACGGGTAGAGTGTTTCGAAAAGGAAAATTGGACAACGGACGTGAGTTAGTAGAATCTACCTGTGGTCCCTTTTCGAAAAATGCTGTTGTATCTAAGTCAGCTCAATCCTTCGGTCACTAGTCTGAAGGTCGTTGCGGAACATTTATCACCTGTAAGTAATTATGAATGGCAGAACCGTTCTGTTTATGCTTGGTTGCGCCACACAACGAGGGGAGAATTACACTAGATGGGTGGGGTGATCCGAATTCGGGGTGGAAGCTATGCGTGAACGGCTATCGCAGGAAAGGGATTCAGAGATAGGGGAAGAGGAGGGACGAAGTAGGAATGAACAAACCGAACCAGCTGGTGTGGTAAGAGGTGGCCCAAACCGATTCGGCAGGGACAGTGAGATAGGTCTGGCATCTGGTTGTTCCCATGGCTCAAGACACTAACCAATTGGGGTGCTGCTGCGGGTGAGCTGGCGGCTACTTGGACTCGAAGTTACGGATGCCGAACCGAACCGAGACGCGAATGCTCAGGGATTCCCTCTCTGTCGCGACGCGGAAGAAGCTCGCCTGGGTGGTTGGTTGGGGAAAACGTGCCAAGGTATTCGCGAAGCTTCAGGTACGGTTACGAATTCAGCAAGCTCGTGACAGCGTGGATATGAGCGAAGGCATCCATTCGTCGTGACCTCTGAGGGAATTTTCGCGTGGATGGTGGTCGCAGAAAAAGTTGGTGGGAAGCATCCTGGAGGGATCTGGCCCAATCGGACCGCTCGACTGCGGGACGGCCTTGCCACGAGCCGTGGATTCGTTCAGGTGAACTGCCCAGCGGCGAATGCGGCCCACACAGCCACTGAAGCCAATGCCAACTCAGCAAAAAGACAACAATACCGGCGATAAAGTAGGCCCGATTCGCTGGGTTTCGCCAAGTTTCCAGGCGTTGTGGCGACACGTGAGCTTTGGCCACTTACGAACCTTGATCTTTCCGCGTCATCCAAGCTTTTTGCTGAGTCGGGGCGTTGATTGGCCGAGATAACCATAAGCTGCGTTTACGCCACTCGCCGAATGTGTTGCTGCCGAGCCGCGTACTCAGGGAGCAGTGCAGAACACCAGCATGCGCGCTCTGGATTTCGGTCTGACAATGAACCAGCAACCCATGGAGTGAAAGTGTTACACAATGAGAAGGAAAACATTTCGACTAATGATTAAGAACAAACCACATTCTTTAGAAAAACAACCTAACACCCCTTTCTTGGCTTCATAAACTGCAGTAGATTACAGATGACCCCCACAGAAAAACGTCTAAGAACCTATTCGTCTGGGCCCGAATCCTCCGAATCCCAGTCTTCATCATCAAAATCTAAGTCTTCATCGTCGCCCTCATCTGTGTCATCGTCGTCATCATCATCATCATCCTCATCGCTAAAACTATCCGGATCCTCATCCGACGGTCCCTCCATTATCAAATCCATGAGCTCCTGTGCCGCCTCCTCATCGTCCTCCGAATCACTCCCCAGGTACTCCCCCTCCTCCACTTCCCCATTCATCAACCCCCCACGCCCACCACCCCTCACAGCCCTAACCCTCGGCTGCCCAAACCCATCCTCATCCTCCTCCTCATCCAAATCCTCTGAAAACCCTCCAAAAAGCTCCTCCTCTATACTATCCAACTCCTCCTGATCCTCATCCTCTTCCTCCTCCCCTTCATCCCCCTCATCCTCCATCTCCCCCTCATCCTCCACGTCGTAATCCCCCAACTCCTCCACCACCCGCTGCCGCCCAACCTCAAACAGTCTTGCAACAGAATCCGATTCCCCATGCTCATCTACCACCACCGCTGCCACATACCCGTCCGTGGGTTCAACGGCCAGATCAAGCACGCATCGCTCGACATTAACGGTTGCGATGTCAGTGTACGAAGTCGCGTCAATGGTCTTGAACGCCGAGAAGAGCGGGTGCTTGCGCCGGCGCCCGTGCAGGGCGGCTAGAAGGTCGTCGGTGGTGCGGCGGAGAGTCGCGTAGATGACTTCCCCCGTGGCGTTGAATGTTATGGAGGTCTGGTCGAGGGACGGGACGCTGCGCAGAAGCTTCCGTGTTCGCAGGTCCCAGACTTCTGAGTTGATGATTACCTGATGGAGGGAGGATCAGGAAGGTGAGAACGGGGGAGGAGATGGATGGGGTGGAGGAGAGTCAAGGAAGGGCGCTCACTGCTCACTGCTCACTGCTCACTTCTAGGTGCAGCAATGTGCAGCAAACCCAATTGACTCGTTGCCGATACTCTGAATAATCAGCTCACCTCATTTCCGGACGGGTGGAAGCCCCCTCCTCCATAATTCGGGAACTGGTCGAAGCAGTGAACAGGCTCAGTGATGCGCGGGTCCCACAGGAACCCCTTCGTGTGATGAGTCGGTTTTTGAGTCGACTCAAAAACAGGCTCAGTGATGCGCGGGTCCCACAGGAACCCCTTCCTGTGATGAGTCGGTTTTTGAGTCGACTCAAAAACAGGCTCAGTGATGCGCGGGTCCCACAGGAACCCCTTCGTGTGATGAGTCGGTTTTTGAGTCGACTCAAAAACAGGCTCAGTGATGCGCGGGTCCCACAGGAACCCCTTCCTGTGATGAGTCGGTTTTTGAGTCGACTCAAAAACAGGCTCAGTGATGCGCGGGTCCCACAGGCAGGAACCCCTTCGTGTGATGAGTCGGTTTTTGAGTCGACTCAAAAACAGGCTCAGTGATGCGCGGGTCCCACAGGAACCCCTTCGTGTGATGAGTCGGTTTTTGAGTCGACTCAAAAACAGGCTCAGTGATGCACGGGTCCCACAGGAACCCCTTCGTGTGATGAGTCGGTTTTCGAGTCGACTCAAAAACAGGCTCAGTGATGCGCGGGTCCCACAGGAACCCCTTCCACAGAAACAGATCGTCCAGCAGGGAGAAATGCACTTTTTGAAATTTGTTCTACGTGCTCTAAGGATTCACAATCCTTGATCCACTCACCTCGTTGCCTGAAGGGTGGAAGCCCCCTCCTCCATAGTCGGAGAACTGGTCGAAGCGATGCACAGGCTCACTGATGCGTGTGTCCCACAGGAACCCTTTCCACAGCAGCAGATCGTCCAGCGGGGAGAAATGAACGCCCTGGGACCCCAACGACCTATTCACCCCTGCCCCCCCTCCTCCTCCACCCATCATTGCAGCACCACCGCCGCCAATACCAGCTGCAGCAGCACCGGCAGCACCAGCAGCGCCAGCAAGCCCAATCCCAAACCCTCCAAACCCACCGTAACCGCCGTAACCACCAAATAGACCACCGAAGCCACCATTCCCACCGCGGCCGCCTCCCAGACCCCCACCAGCCAGCCCACCGCCCACACCCCCCCAACCAACCACCCCAGCAGGGTTAGCAGCCCCACCAGCAGCAGCGCCAGTAGCATACGAGTCAGCAGCAGCAGCAGCAATGGGCGCTTCTCTGAGCGTCTCTTGCAGCCTGCCCGTCGCCACGTCATACAGAAGCACCTCTCTTGACTCCCTCGACTGCCCGTCGCACCGCACTGCACCGATGGTGCGAGCGGAGTGGCTGAAACGGCCAAGGCGGCAGGAGGGGAAGGTGTGGATGGGACCGAGAGAGAGGTCTGCAGCATCCCAGAGCTTGACTTCTGTACGGGTTGAGGAGAGGAGGAGGCAGGACGCTGCTCCGTATGCTGCCGATGCTGCTGATGACCCTGCTCCTCCTGCTCCCCCTGCTCCTGCTCCCCCTGCTCCTGCTCCTCCTGCTGCTCCTCCGCCTGCTCTTACCCCTCCTCCTGCTGCCAATGCATTGCCTTGCAACTCCTCCTCCTGCTGTCTCCCCCGCCCGCGACCCACAAATCCCCTGTCATCATCATCATACCCCGGTCTCGGTGCCGAGAACACCGAAACAATCGACGACTGGTGGCACGAGTAGCTATCCACAACCACACCCCCTTCCGCGTCAAACAGTTTAATCTCCCCTGCAGTCGTGCCCACTGCTAAGCATCGCCTCCCCCCGCCGAATCCCCCAACGCCCCCGGCGCCCCCCCCGCCGAAACCCCACACACCGCCGCCCCCACCCGCCCCTCCCGCCCCCAGCAGGAAACACGCACTGGTAATCATAACCGCATCTTCCCGGCAAGTTCTCCACGGGCGGAACCGGCTGAACACTAGCTGCCGATCCAGCCGCCGCCCCTGCCACCCGCCCGCAGGCGGGCGGCGTTGCCGGGCGGCGAGGCGACGGGTGATACTGTAGGGGGCGTCTAGGGAGCGGAGAGGCTCGGGGCAGGTGTGGGGGTGGAGGAGGGAGAGGGGGGGGAGGGTGGTGATGGGGGCCGGGCACTGCCTGTGCTGCTGCTTCAGATATGAGGTAACGATTCCGTCCAGAGTTGTGCTGAGCTCTCCTGGGGTAGGTAGAATTGAGGGAGGTGGTGCTGCTGTGGGTGGGGTCGGGACGGTTGCTGCTGGTGCTGATGCTGGTGCAGGGGCTGCTAGCGCCTGGCCCAACCTGTCCTCTGCTGCACCTGAGGCCCCACCTGAGGCCCCACCTGAGGTCCCACCTGAGGTTCCACCTGAACCCCCACCCGAACACGGAACAGGCTCCTCTAATACAGCAGACCCTGCAGGTGCTTCACCAGATGCAACAGCAGCCGCAGGAGAAGAACCACCACCGGAACCATCCCCACCAGTACCAACACCAGCGCCAGAAACAGCAGCAGCACCCGCATCAGCAGCATCACCGGTACCTAACCCTGCCATTGCCCCTGCCCCTGCCCCTGCTCCTGCAGAAGCTATTGCAGAGCCAGCACCACTTTGCAGCGGCAGGGAAGGATTAGGGGAGAGGAGAGGAGGGAGAAGCGTGGAGGCTCGTTTGGCAGGAGGAGAGACAAGCAGCGCTGCTGCAGACGCAGACGCAGAAGCTTCCTTGTACCCTCGCTTCCTCCCGGATAAACGCCGTGCTACCTGCTCCCTTCCAGGTGTGCTTTCCCTCTCCCCACTGCTGCTGCTGCCGCCACTGGTCAAACCCCCACCCCTCATTCCTTCTTTGCTCAATGTTGCATCTTCTGCCCCTTTCTGCTCCTCCTGCTCGCTCTCTCCCCCCTTGCCCTCCCCTTTCCCTCTCGCCCTCTCTGCAAGTGAACTTCCCAATACTATTCGCCTCCTTATCTGACCCTCCTCCTCCACACCAACTCCACTCCCACTCGCCCCACTTGCATCCATTCCCACCGCTCTCTGCCGAACTGCACTCCTCTCTCCCCTCCCCGCTCCCTTCTCCCCTCCCCCCCCAGCCTCATCCCCCCTTCCCCCTCTTCCTCCCCTCCCTCCCCTCCCCCCTCGTTCCCCCTTCTCCCCTCTCCCCTCACCCTTTCTTCCAGCAGAGAAGAACCATCCGGCTTTGCCCTTAGGCCAGCTAAGCCCCCCTGCTGCCTCAGCAGCGAGTCCGGCATTGCCAGCTGGCGCTGCTGCTGACGTTGCAGCCGGTGCAGCAGAGGCGGACGGAGGAAGCGGAGGAGCGGGAGGCGGCGGGAGAGCGTGGGGGGGGTGGCGATTGGGGGAAGTCTCCGAGGGAGCAAGAGAGCAGGGAAGGGCGGCAGAGGGAGGAACGGTGGCAGGAGAGGAGGAGGGAACGGGGGTGGCGACGAGAGGGTTGATGCTTGATTCTGCTAGCAGCTGGCTTGCTGACTGGTGTAGGCCTTCTGATACTAGATGGGCGTGTATCAGTTGAAGGAGCTCACTGTAAAGGGGATGAGATGCAGAGGAATAAAGAGAAAGATTAAAGGTTGAATAAATAAAGGCCAGCTGATACGTAGGAGACAGCAAGAAGAATATAAGACCTCAGCATGACTGACCTGCATTTTTTTTTTTTTTTTAATTGAAATTTCATTGAGAATACGTTTAAAAATCGTTGCTGCCATTGTCGTTACTACCATCTGAACCAGGGTTGACCAGAATTGACCAAGGTTGACCTGGGTTAGCCCTATCTTACCTGGGGGGGTAGCTGATGGGAGTGGCAGCAGCAATGGCAGCTCGCTCCAGCCTCTTGAGTGTCGGCGCCGTTGCTTCTGTGGCTGCTGCTGTTGTCGCCTTGCCTGCACTCGTGGTGAGCTGCAGTAGGGGACGCACGGAAGGAAAGGAGAGGAGAGAGGAAGGGAAGATGAAGGAAAGGAGGGAGGAAGGGAATGTGCATGCACCTGTGGCTGCTGCTGTTGTGGCCTTGCCTGCACTCGTGGTGAGCTGCAGAGGGGGGGGGCACGAAAGGAAGGACGAGGAGATACAGAGAGGTGAAGGCAGAGAGCGAGAAGCGGGGACGTTTTTCCACAGTGATAACCATTTTCCACAATGATAACCATTTTCCAGAGCACACAGTTGGGAGACTGAATGCACGAGGCGGTGCGACGGGTGCAAACTTACCGAGATGAGTTCAAAAGCCGACTGTTGGAACTCATGCAGCCACCGCGCATGCAGAGCCTGCAACCCCATGCCACTCGACCCTCCGTGGTGGTGGTGGTGATCATGCTGAATGCATGCCATGCTGCAATGGGTGAATAACTTACCGAGATAAGTTCAAGAGCTGACTGTTGAAACTCATGCAGCCACCGCGCATGCAGAGCCTGCAACCCCATGCCACTCGACCCTCCGTGGTGGTGGTGGTGGTGGTGGTGGTGGTGGTGGTGGTGATCATGCTGAATGAATGCCTTGCTGCAATGGGTGAATAACTTACCGAGATAAGTTCAAGAGCTGACTGTTGGAACTCATGCAACCACCGGGCATGCAGAGCCTGCAACCCCATGCCACTCGACCCCCGATGATGATGCTGCTGACGATTCTGCTGCTGCTGATTCGGCTGCTGCTGATGATGGCGGTGGTGGTGCTGCTGATGCTGCACCGACGCAGATGGCAACCCAGCCGACACGTCCCGCAGAAGATCCGAAAGCTGCCGCCCGAGCTGCAGCTTCGTCAGAATATGCGTCAGGGCGGGATCCCTAGCCAACCCCAACAACACCCGGCAAGCTAGAGCCCTGATACAATCCGCGGAAGGGGGAGGGAGGGGGGGTTTGCAGTGCAGCAGCTGTAGGAGCACCCTTATGCCATTGCTGGCTCTAAGAGCGTCTCTAGCTTGCTTGTATCCCTGCTCCATGTACGCTGCTAGCCCTGTCGCGCCCAGGCCTAGTCCCAGGGGCTGCATCCTGCGGTCCTGAGGGGTTAAGGGCGGTGCTGTGGCGGCTGCAGGTACTGCTGGCGTTCCTGGTGTTGCTGTCGCTGGTGTTGCGGGTGTTGCTGCTGCTGCTGCTGGTGCTGCTGGTGCTGCTGGTTGTGCTGCTGCTGGGGTTGCACGCACAGGAGTAGAAAATGTGTCCTGCTGCTGCTGCTGCTGCTGCTGCTGCTGCTGTTGCGGCCCTGTCTCAGTCCCTTGAGTGATGCGTGGCAGTGCACGGCTTGAACTCGGAGTAGCAATAGCAGCACCAGCACCAGTCGCACCACCAGCAACAGCACCACCACTCGCACCACCAGCACCGGCACCAGCAGTGCCACCAGCAGCAGCATGAGCCGCACTGCGGCTGTTCACGACAGAGCAGTACGTTGGAAACGGGCAGACGAGATTCACGACCACCAGCAGCGCGATCTGCATGACCTCGGGATCGGCCAGCAGAGCCCCGCTGGCAGCGTCGAGCAGCACGGGCATGCCGCAGCGGTGCGAGGCCACTCGCGCGGAGAGCACGTGGCGGTGCGTGAAGGGCGCGAGGGTGAGCACGTGGAGGACGCCCAGGGCGTGCTCTGCTAGCTCCCCCGTGCTTCGCTCTCCTGGGGGAATCTGCAGAGAGAGGGGGTAGGGATTGGGGTTCGAGCTTTAAGGTGGCGGCGCGTGAAGGGCGCCAGGGTGAGCACGTGGAGGACGCCCAGGGCGTGCTCTGCTAGCTCCCCTGTGCTGCGCTTCCCTGGAGGGATCTGTGGAGAAAATGGGTTTAGGATTCAGGCGAGAGAGGGGAGCACACGTGGCGGTGCATGAAGGGCGCGAGGGTGAGCACGTGGAGCACCCCCAGGGCGTGCTCTGCCAACTCCCCCTTGCTGCGCTCCCCTGGGGGAATCTGTAGAGAAAAAAGGGTTTAGGATTCGGGAGAGAGAGGGGAGCACACGTGGCGGTGGGTGAAGGGCGCGAGGGTGAGCACGTGCAGCACTCTCAGGGCGTGCTCTGCGGTGACTTTTGAGTCCAATCCCTAGCCTTAGCCACACACAAAACCCCGCCCCGCACCCTAAACAAACCCACCTGGTAACCACACCCACCTGGCAGAGCTCCAGCAGCACGTCTACAGCGCCCTCCTCCACGAGCCTTTCAGCAGCGCCCCACCGCGAGCGCACAAACCCCTGAATCCTAGACCCGCCCCAGCCTTCTCCATCCAGCCTACCATTAGACCCAAAGACCCCAGACATGCGCACCCACCTGGCAGAGCTCCAGCAGCACGTCTACAGCGCCCTCCTCCACGAGCCTCTCAGCAGCGCCCCACCGCGAGCGCACAAACGTGTGAAAACCTAGACACACACAAAGCCCTGCACACTGGTCGGACCCACCTGGTGCTTGTGCTCCCACGCACCTGGCAGAGCTCCAGCAGAACATCCACTGCCCCCTCCTCCACGAGCCTTTCAGCAGCGCCCCATCGCGAGCGCACAAACGCGTGCGCCAGGCGCCGGTCCGACACCATCAGCGCCTCCATCAACCCCTCCACCGCCTGTGCACTCGAATCCACTGCTCTCGTGAGACTCCGCGTGTGGTGCGACGGCTTGTGAGGGGCTTCAGAAGCAGCAGGAGCAGCTGCAGAAGCAGCAGCAGAAGCAGCGGTGGCAGGAGGGGCAGGGGAGGAAGCAGCAGCGGCAGGAGGAGCAGTGGGGCGGTGGGTGCGGTGGCGGGAGGAGAGCGCGGAGGAGGGAGCTCCAGAGGGCGCACTGGAAGGACCGCCAGAGAAGGCACTGGAGGAGGAGGTACCAGAAGCGTGGTGCAGGGACTCAAGATGCAGCACGAGGTGCACTCTCATGTACTGGCGGAGGGCAATGCACGTGTTGTGAGCCACCTGCCTGCCTGCTGGCGTCAACACCTCCCATGTCATCGTGCTGCTGCCGGTGCCGTTGCCGCCGCCAGTTCCACTGCTACTGCCGCCAGGACCTAACAAGGCTGTTGCGGCTGCTCCTGCTCCTCCTACACCTGCCCCTGCTCCTCCTCCTCCTCCTGCCCCTGCTCCTCCTCCTGCTCCTGCTCCTGCCCCACCTGCTGACCCGCCTGGAGAATCAGAGCCTGGTTCAGTCCCAGCAGCAAAATGCATTCCCCCACCGAGAGGCAATGGCAACCCCAAGCCTCCCCCCAAATTTCCACCCTCGTCTAACCCTCCTACCCCTCGTCCTCTCGTAACCCCTCTTCCCAACCCAACCTCCCCTGCTTCAGCCCTTCCTTCCACCGCTGCTCCCACTGCCCCTCCTGCTCCCACTCCTGCTCCTCCCCCTCTTCCCCCCCCCACTCCCCCTGCCCCCGCGCCCACGCCCAGCGCCCCTCCCCCACCGCCCCCGGACCTTAACTGAGCAGCATTTCTCAACAGAGCAATGAGGGCGGGGAGGCCCCCCTGGGCGTCGAATTCGAGGAGGAGGCGAGGGAAGGCGAGGGAGGCGGCAAAGAAGAGCGCCGTGTTGCGCCGCGCGTGGTCCAGTGGGCACAGCAGCAGGTGGAGCGCTGCTGAGATGAGCGAGCGGATGACTGGCTGGGGGAGGGAAGCTACACGTTCCATCACACTCTGGACGGGGGAGGGGGAGGGGTTGGGAAGAGAGGGCGGAGGGAGAGAAGGGGAGAAGGGGGAGAGGAGCAGGTGGAGAGAGTTTGAAATGAAAAGGCTACCAAGGAGGGGGAAGGCGAGGGAGGCGGCAAAGAAGAGCGCCGTGTTGCGCCGCGCGTGGTCCAGCGGGCACAGCAGCAGGTGGAGACTTTTGAGTCGACTCAAAAGTCACCTCGCGAGTGGGCACAGCAGCAGGTGGAGCGATGCTGAGATGAGCGAGCGGATGACTGGCTGGGGAAGGGACGCTTCTCGCTCCATGACACTCTAAAACGGAAGGGGGGAGGGATGGAGGGGAGAGGGAACAAGGGGGAGAAGGGTAATGGCAGCAGGTGAAGAGTGGCGGAGATGAGTGAGCGGATGACTGGCTGGGGAAGGGAGGCTACACGCTCCATGACACTCTGGGGGGGAGGGAAAGGGAGGAAATTGGGAGGGATCACACTCTATGATACTCTGGGTAGAAGCGAGGGCGGAGAGCAGGGAGGTGGGGAGGGCGGGAGGGCAGGGAGGGCAGGGAGGTGGGGAGGGCAGGGAGGGCGGGAGGGCGGGAGGGCAGGGAGGAGGAGATATCTCCTGAACAACTACTTGAGGAAAGGGCGAACCAGGTGTGAACCGGTCAACAGTGAGGTTCAGGAGGGTGTGGGGAGGCTCGCAGGGGAGGGAGAGGAAAAGGAGGTCCGAACAAGGAACAGTAAGGGAAGGGGGTATCAGGTGGTTACCTGGATCGAGGCAAGAGCAAAGAAGGCGACAGCGAGGCCGGGAAGGGTGTGGGGCACGCGGGGGAGGGAGAGGAGCAGCTGCACGCCCCCGCGGTCCACAAAGAGAGTGGCAAACTTGCGGTGTGCTGTGAGCGCACACACCAGCTTCAACACGTCCGCCAGCAGCAGCACACTCATCGGCCCACAGGCTGCTGCTGCTGCTGCTGTTCCTGCCGCTGCAGCTGCACCTGCTGTGGAATCCCCTGTGCCAGGAGCAGCGGCAGCAGAAGCACTGCCACCTGTACCGGCCACACCAGGAGCAGCAGCCGCAGCAGACCCCTCGGCCCCTGGAGGTCCAGGAGTGGCGCGTCTGAGCAGAGCAAGGCAGACATCTACCCCTTTCTCGTGCAGCACGGGACCCAGCACCTCCATGTACTCGCCCAGTGCGGCCAGCGTCTGCACCGCATACCACTCCCTTAGCTGCGCCAGCTGCGGCCGAGTCAGCTGCCATACAGGGCGAGTGGGAACAGCTGGAACAGCGGATGGAACGGAGGAGGGAGCGGTGGGGGCGGTGGGGTTGGTGGGGGTGGTGGGGTTGGTGGGCGTGGCGTGGGATGTGGATGGTGCAGAGGCGGGGTCCTGTGATGGTGCTGGGGTGGTGGGCTGTGGAACCTGCTCTGCTGCGCTGGCTGCTATACCTGATTCTTCTCCTGATGCTGCGTCTGCTGCTGCAGCTGCAGCAGCTGGTGGGATTGAGGCACCTGGAGCATCTGGAGCCGTGCCCTTGCTTCCACTCCCTGCCCCACTTCCTGCCCCACTCCCTGCCCCGCTCACCGCTTGCGCAGCCTGTCTCACAGCATCAGCAGCGCTCCTAGCAGCAGCAGCAACAGCTTCGTCTCCTCCTCCCCCCTCCAACGCGTCAGCAGCAGCCTGCCTGACCGACTCTGCTGCTGCCTCCACTGCAGCAGCCACCACGTCAGCTGGAGCATTAGCCGCCTCTGCTTCCCTTCTCGCCGCCTCCCACGCCACTGCAACTGCTTCAGTGATATCCACAGCCCCAACCTTAACAGCTTTCGGAGGAGGGAGTAAATTCTCAAGGGCAGAACCCTTAACCCCAGAACCCCCCGGAACCCCTGCACCCCCAGAACCTCCAGCCCCTGAACCCCCGAACCCTGATCCCTCAACCTCGGCCCCACCAATTCCAGAGGCGGAAGCATGCTTGCCCTTCCCTGCGCCCTGCTCTGCTTTGCTCCCTTTCAGCATGGCTTTCCTACCGCCTCCTCCCCCTCGACCCCTACTTCCTAGCTCCTCTCTCCCCCCTTCCACTGCCATTCCTCCCCCTCCTGAGTCTTTCAGCTTTCCTAACGGGGAAAGGGGGTTGGGTGCAGCTTTTGCAGGGGCTGTCATTATCACATCCGCATGTGCTGAGGCGTTTCCGCTCCCCATCCCCTCACCTATAGCCTCTGTCTTCCCCTTCTCCTCTGCTGCTCTCGACTCCGCGACCCCTAATGCTGCTGCTCTCGCCTCCTCTGCTAATCCAGCAATTTGAGCTGCAGCGGCAGCAGCAGCAGCAGTGGTAGCAGCAGCGCTACTCTCCCCCCTGCTACTCACACTACGCAGCTTGCTCCCTCTGCTCCCAGGTGTTCCCACAACCCCCGTCCCCGCTCCTACTCCTCCCCCTCCTCCTACCCCCCCTGTTCCAGCTCCTGCTGGTCCTCCCGCTCCCCCCTGCGCCCCCCCTGCAGCGGGCGCAGCAGCGCGCCCCAGCACTCGCTTGCGCAGAAGGCGGGCGAGGTGCTGCACGAGGCCTGTGCGCACCACCTGCTCCACCGCCGCCTCGTTGCTGACAGGGGAATGGAGGGGGTTTGGGGGTTGGGAGTTGGGGGAGAGTATGGAGGCAGAAACTAAGGAATACGCGGTTTGAACGGTCACAGTGCTGCACGAGGCCTGTGCACATTGCCTGCTCCACTGCCGCCTCTTTGCCGCTCTAGCGGACAGATTTTTGGATAAAGATGGGAAGAAGAACAGGGTAAGGCATGACGACGAGGCAAGCGTGCTACTCACGAGCTGAGTGCAACAGCAACGAGTCCGGTGGAGAACGTTCTCAGCATGTCCGTCGCCAGAACAGCTGATGCTCTCGCCCTCGCACCCACACCACCACCGCCAGCACCACCCACGCCAACACCCCCACCCGCAGCTGCAGCAGCACCAGCCGCAACAACACCACCAGCACCAGCTCCTCCCGCTCCGCCACGATCCCCCCCCTGACCCTCCTCCCCTGCGTCCTCCTCCTCTTCTTCCTCCTCCTCCTCCTCCTGCGTGCCACCGGCGCCACCAGCAGCGCCAGCTGAAGCGGCGGCAGCGGCTGTGGCGGTGGCAAGGGCAGGGAGTTGGGCGGCGCGAGTGGAGAGGGCGGCCCACGAAATGACTCGCTCTAGAATACCCTCCTCGAACACCCCACGGTACTGTGTGATGTAAACCCAATGTATTTGGTTTGGGTGGGGGGATGGCGGAAGGGGAGGAAAAGTGTGAGGAAATCCGAGGAGCAATTGAGCTAAAAAGCATGCAGAAACGCAGTTCTTAAAGAGCTGGGCGAGTAGGGACGGCGGCCCAGGCAATGACTAGCTCAGAAACCCAAAGGCAAGGACTCTCCACGCGGATTGAACACCCAAAGACTCACCACGAAGCTCATCGCACAGGCGAGCAGCAGGCGAGCGCCCGCTGCTCGCTCCTCCTGCGACCGCCACGACTGGAGTAGCAGCTTCGACGTGAGCAGCTCGTACAAGTCGTCGTCCTCCTGGCGGGAGCAGTGGGGGTGTGGGGGGATGTGGGTCGGGGGATTGCTAAGTAGGGGGTATTAAGTTGACACAAACGCAAGCTCGTACAGATCGCCGTCCTCCTGGCGGAAACAACGGAGGAATGAGAGGACTGGAGATGTTTGTTACAAACATTCGACATATGCGCTATTAGGGGCAGATGGAACTTCTATAAAATGTTTACACGAGGTTGAACACGACAGTTATTGAAGGGAGGTACACAGGTGAAGATCAACAGTCAATTTGCCAGGGAATGAATGAAAAATGAGTGGAGTAATTTCGATAGAAAGGTACGACGCGTGCCTGGGGGCGATCAACGTACACGCAGTGAGTTGACAATTCGTCCAATAGTGTACGACGCTCGGAGATTAGACGAGGAGAAACCCGCTTGTTGCTGGTACCTGAGTATTAAAACAAATATCAGGAGTACGGATAAAGGCAGTTGGAACGAAGAGAGGCAAATGCCGATCAGCAAATCCCTGCCTTCAATGGACAAAACTACCAGAGAGGAGTAACTCTGATGAATGAACGGCAACAGATCATGAATTATAAGCGATAACGGAAGGAGAGGGACGGAAAACTGCAAATCGGAACCAACAATGAAGATAATCCTGGAAGGGAGCGAGAGAAAGAGATAGAGAGAAAGAAATAGGGTAAAAATCTCACCACTGTTCCTCATCCTCAATGATCGCAGCGAGCTGATGCAAAAGGCTCGTCTCGGGATTGTTCCCGCCAGCCACGATCTGCAGCACCAGCTCCCGCACTCTGTTCAGTGCGACTTCTGGAGGCTCTCGCGACGCCGCTGCGAGCGACGGAAACAAAGCTGCGCTCGCCATGGCTGGTAATTGACAGATTCTACGCTGACTGATAGGTTGAGTTCGGATGAAAAGATTCTAAGGTGACTGACAGCTCCAGCCCTGATGGATATATTGAATCGTTATTGGTTGGTTCTATGTCTGAAAATGCGACTGCAAAGTGCCTTTGGCTGAAGACTTAGTAACAGAGCTCAAATGGAAAGCATCGAGTTGAACATAACGAGCTGAAGCGGATGCGCTGCTGTCTCTTATTGGTACAAACGGAACGGAAATTCGCCATGCACTCAAGCGGTGAATAAACTGATGAAACTAATGATTAACGACGGGTCCGAACCGACACGACCAGTCGGACCTGGTCATAAACCTCCTAATTGAGACTGAAAGTAAAATTCTGCAACCTAAAAATCTTAGGCGAAATGGCCTCTCCTGCTGCTTTATGCCTTCCTGCAAGTTGACTGGATTCTGGAACTCGGATGGCGGAAAGTCCTCCCCCCACACCCGTCCCGCGCTTCCCCCAAGCTTTTCGATACTCTCTCGAGGTTTCCTTTCCCGCTCCCCGCCGTACTCGAGCAGCGGGACCTTGAGACTCTCGCGCAAATCCCCTCAGATCCCCCACTTTTGTGTGAGGCAGGAGGGGGAAGGAGAGGAGGGGGGGGAATTTGAGTGGCGGAGTGCCTGCCTGAGGCTGGGGTATGATTGCGGAGGACGCAGAAATAATTTCGAGCTCTGTTCCGCTTGGATGCTGCTTGCTGTACAGAACCGCATTTGTTATAGGCGATGGGGTGTCATGTCTTATGTGACAGCTTGTTATGAATTGTAAAAGAGAGTGCGCAGGATAACGAATAACAAAGATGTGACTCAGTCAATTCACAATACAATGAAGGCACGCGCTAATATAGTGGGTCAACCTAGCTAGGCGGGAACCTCGGGAATACGAGGTTGGGTGCAGGTTGGGCAAAGGAAAGGCCGTAGGCGACGCGAGGTTGCTTCGGCAGCAAGCTAAGTGGCCGAACGTGCACTTCCGAAAGCTGGGGTTGTACCGTCACCCCCCGGATATAAGCGCCACCCTAGGATAAGCGCCTGGCGCTTCTAATTGGCATATGGCGCTTATATCCCCTCCTCGATTATAAGCGCACCCCCTGAAAAAACTAGTTTTATTATAAGCGCACGTAAACTTTAAAATTTGAAATGTGTACAAAACGTTGTAATGATTTTTACTTTAGCAGGCAGATATGTTGCAGATTCGGTTCCCTTCACATTCGGACCCTGCACTGGATGCGGGTCCAGTCAGCAGGAGCTGTCAGGAGCTGGATGTGAGTCAGATTGGGTGTGTCTCCCAGCGCGCGCGAGAATTTCACAGACGACCCCATGTAAATTCGACTCGATTGAAAGGGCAAGCACGAGACCTACAGTTTGGTGTTAAACAATATAAAAAATATGAATGTCATTTTATAAACGCCGGCGCTTATAAATTTACTCGATTATAAGCCCACCCCCTTGAAAAAACCTGTTTTATTATTGCCCCCCATGGGGGTATATCCGGGGGGTGACGGTACGCGGTTGAGTAAACCCCTGTAAGGAAAAGGGTTTTTCCTTACACAGCTTACCCAACCATGATTTGCCCTAGGCTGAGAAAACCTGAGCTAACACATCATACGGTAATTTCTGCTCAAATACACTATCTCCGTTGCATCATTCCACACCATCCAAGCCAAGGGTATTTCTGCACTGCCACTGACCCCTTGCCCAGCAGCAAGGGGCCTTTTCTCTACACATTGCTTTTCCGGTACCTTCACGATGCTTGCAACCAGAACACTGAACATCCCTAAAAGTAGATACGCAATGAAGCATAATTTGAATTTCGAACATGCATCCGCCAACGAAATGGGTGGACTGGATAATGAGGGGACGGTAGGTATGTTGCGTCAATCAACAGACGGCGGATGCACAAGGTTGCAGTGCGTGTGGAATGCAAAGAGAATATGGAGTGATTGGGAAACAAGCTGAGCGAGCAGCAAGCACGACTAAACAAGTGTGACTGAGACACAGAAACGGGGAACGTGATGGGAGAAAAGGGAGAAACGGGAGGGAGGGAGAAAAGGGGGAAGGGAGGGAGGGCGAGGGAGGGAGGGAGGGAGGGAGGGAGGGAGGGAGGGAGGGAGGGAGGGAGGGAGGGAGGGAGGGAGGGAGGGAGGGAGGGAGGGAGGGAGGGAGGGAGGGAGGGAGGGAGGGAGGGAGGGAGGGAGGGAGGGATGAATGGGGGAGAAAGGTGGGAGGGAGGGAGGGGACGGAGGAAGGGGGGGAGGGAGGGACGCAAGGGAAAGAGAGAAGACGGACTGGCGGAAGGAGAGAGGAAGGTAAGGAACGAAAAGAGGACGGCGGGAAGAGAAGGAGTGTGCGGGGGGGAGTGGAACAGGTGATGGGGAAGAGAGACGAGAGAGGAGGGAAAATGGGGGAAATGCGAGGTGAAGGATGGTTGCGGGAAGGGAAGAGAAGTCGAAAGACGCAACTGACAAGCAAAGGCTTCACTACAGCGCAAGGGAAGACCTCGGGTTTCGTCAAGGCTGGGAAATGGCTCGAGTGGTAGAAACTCCCTTCAGGGATAACAATAAAAAGACTATTAATGTGTCAAACCTTAGGAAATTACGCCTGTGAGATTCGAATGCTCTTGATCGGGATGACAGTATAATGACTCGACAGTGGTGGTAGTAGCGAAGCGACGTAATTAAAGGAAGCCGAGAGTACAATATAATTCCTCGACGGATACACGGCAGGAAGAATCAACAATGGGAAGAAAGACCGGCAACAGCCGCACCCAGCTACAACGCGTCTAAAACCCTGCTCCTGGCGTGGCTAAGAACAATCGAACACGGCCTTAACCTCCTCGTACTCAGTCAAAAAGAGTGGGAGAATCACCAGCCACGGAACATTGCCCTCAGATTCACCAATCCCAGGGTTATGAGTCGACTCGTAAGCCAGGCTAGCTGTCCCAGACTAGGATCTATCGAAGCGCCATAGAAGAATGTGCCTAAGACGAAGCGGCCGGAGCCTTCTCATCCTCCTCTAGACGCCAGACGGGAGGCGCCTCGGGCAGCGGCCCGTAGTCCTTGGTTCCGCCGCGCTTCCTGTCCCACACCGCGTGCTTCTTCGGCCGCGTCGCCACGTGGCGGCCCGTCGCCTTCTTGTTCACGTGGTGCGCCGACTCGACGTTTAGTCGCCGCGAGGAAGCCGGCGCGGTTGACGGGGAAGCGACCGCTGCAGGGCACGTGGCGACGGATGCGGCGAACGAGAGGGAAGCCATGGTGGGAGGATGGACAACGAAAGAGATGCCTGTAGGAACAGGTCCGTGTTCGGTGAGAGACAGGAAGTGATCGAATGCTGCAAAGCAAACCTTGAAATTGTAGCTAGGGGGTTTGGGGAGGAGAAGAAAGGGATGATGATGGGTTCAGTGGTGTTGTGTAGTATGGTGTGGGTGAAGCTGAATCAGTGCTGCTCTGGCGGGCTAAGCGAGGTGTGGCGTGGATAGGTCGACGTGGCAGGTTGCTTGCTTTCAACCAGATGTGGTGTTCAAAGTGTATGAATATTCAACGAATAATAACAATATAACTCTCCAAAAAAAGGTAAGCAGTGTCCATTTGATAAATGGCTTTAAAGAACAGAGAAGGGCTATACAAGAGGTTAGGGGCTCTAAAAAAAAGCGGCAGGTGGCATAAAAGAGTTGGAGGAAACGCTCCAACTTCGGCGAAATTGAGCCGTGAAATTCACTAGGACTTGTTTTTGGCGTGCTTGATCAGCCAGTCAATAACGACATCAATGTTAGTCGTATGCTTGCAGGAGATGCTGTAGCAGCACACCTCCCTTCCCTGCATCACCTGGTTCAATCCCCTGCACCAGCACCACACATACTAACAGCTTTCGTTAGGGAGATTGTATAAATGATACACATACAGGATTTAGGGAGCATTGCAACGAAAAGGTATATACCATTTGTTGAAAAAAAAAGGAAAAAAGTGGAAAAAAACACTTACATGGCTTCAATTAGGGCATCCCGGGAAACAGCTTCTGCCTTGTCGCACTTGTTCCCCAGCAGCAGCAGCGGGATACCAGCAAGAGAGGGCTTGCTGAGCAGCTCATGCAGCTCTCTGCGTGACACTGGGATGTTGTCATGGTCTGATGCATCCACCACATAGCTGAAAAGGGGGAGGGGGAGGAGACGGGAAAAGGAAGGGAGGGAGGAGGATTGAGGGTGAAGTGAAGCCTATTCATGAGGTGCCTAAAAACCACGCTGGGATGTTGTCTCGGTCTGATGCATCCTCCACGTAGCTGCGACGAAGAGGGGGAGATGGGAAAGAGGGAAAACGGACGGGGGGAGAGGGGGATTGAGGGTAAACGGGAATTTCCTCTTTGAGGTGCCTTCAAAACACGACGGGGAATGAAGGGGAGGGTCAATAATACCCAGGCATGTTGTCGTGATCTTTTGAATGCACCATATAGCTGTGAGAGTGTGCGGGGGTGTATGGAGGTTGGAGAAGGAGGGGGGGTAGAAAGTGGGGGTGGGGAGAGGGGAAGAGGGAGTGGGGGGGGGAAGGAGGGAGAGAAGAGTGCGGTGAGATGAAGGCAAGCAAGGAGTGCAGAGCCTAACCCTGACGAGTAAGCACGTGAACAAGGAACGTGGGAGGGCGCTGCTTACACTATGGCTGACACGCCTCGGCAGTATCTCTCCCACATGCTCCGGAATCTCGGTTGCCCGCCCAGATCCCACAGCTTTATGCTCACATTCCCTTTAGTCACCTTGCGCATGTTAAAGCCCACCTGTGCAAAAATAGAACCATGAAGGGCACCAATGGTACAAGGGGATGGATAGATACCATGGCACGGAGAACTCAGTGAGCACTTCTAAGGAATTTCTATGGGTAGAAAGTGGCTAAACGTAACACTTATGATGCATACGACACGGGTACTGGGACGAGTTAGGGAAGAAAGTGGTTATTATGCAGAGCGATACAGCGAGGTGTGGAGTGGGCCGCAGTGTGGTGCGACGTAGCATCACATGGTGCGATGTGGCAGCGAGGTTACGGGATTTGGTGTGGTACAGTGCGGTGCTGCGTTATGCAGAGTGGCATGCCAAGTCATATCATACCGTGGGAATCATGTCTTCATTGAAACCGCCAGTCTGCGATGGGGGAAAAAGCAACGGGCGGAACGCATTGCCACACCCGTAGCATACGGGGAGGAACACATGCACACACGCACACACGCACACATGTACACATGTAAACATGCACACATGCACACATGCACACACGCACACATGCACACAAGCACACATGCACACACGCACACATGCACACACGCACACATGCACACATGCACACACGCACACACGCACACATGCACACATGCACACACGCACACATGCACACATGCACACATGCACACACGCACAAGGCAAAAAATCAAGGACGGTCAGCAGAAAGCGGGGAACGGTCAATGACGGAGAACAAGGTAGGGAGTAAACAGTGAGATAAGCTGCAAGAGAAGCGTGAGATCGCGCCAACAACAGGTCATGTGAGAAATCCCAAAGGGGTTTGACGAAACGCAGGGAGATCTTGCCGTGTGGATAGCAACCGTGGGACCCGCATACTCGCCACGAGTCGAAGCGGGCCGACATGCTGTCGGCTAACGGCTAACGGGTGAAGGCTGATAGCTACAGGCTAGTCGATCTGCTAGTGACGCGCAAAGCTGCAACGGACTTACAGCGATGACGTTAACGAGCGACGTCTTGCCGGCGTTTTGGAGGCCGATGAGCGATAGCTCCATCTCCTGCTGGAAGAATAAACTGGACACACACACGGATAGGCGGTAAACGGGATGGCCGGAGAAGCACGGAGACAAGATCGGAAATAAACGGGATGGATAAGCGGGCAGACAAAGTGCGTACTGAACCGTTGAGAGAGCACGATGATCAGAGAGTGACCGCCTCTTGCTGAAGAAGCAGCGTGAGCCGGAAGATGCTTTCGCGGATTTCGCAACGGTCTAAACGAAAGGAGTTCGTCGCAGCTGACACGCAAGATCCAGGCTCGGACACGCGGAAGACAGCGAGCGGAACGCACCTGCGTAACCAATTAAGGACGTATTCCCACAGGGCCATCATCTTGGCGGCTTGACTCGACGCAATGCACGAAGCGGCCTAAAAGCCTACTTCAAGCGACGCAACCACGGTGAATCGGAAGAAGAACGGTGAGGTGGAACCGGCTGAATACGAGAAAGTGAAACCGAGCTACGAGAAGTTGCAAGGAGCGAGGCGGACCTAAGTCGAGCGATGTGCTTGAAAAAGTGTGAGACAGCGTTCACAGGATGTCTGAACGACGATGTTGACCTAAACTGGAGAGAGACGGTGATAAATGGAAGTGCAGATAGTCTGCCTGTGACGGGAGTTAAGTTTTAGTATGAGTAATTAAAATTATAGAGATGGAACATGCGGAGATGCTCCAGTTGGTCTAAGGTGATTCACCTTCTTGATCGGAAGGTCGTGGGTTCCAGTCCCACTCTCGACTTGTTTTTAAACCTTCCGTTCTTCCACTTGCGATTCAGGACGTGACTGCTGGGGTCCGCAGTGCCTGTGCCGAGCCGAACCATTCCAAAACTCAAATAAAAGGTTCTCTCGTGCCTTTTTCCCGAGCCTGAGGCTCGTTTCCCTGGTTTGCTCGGCTGTCAGCGTCAAGTAAGCATTGGGATTGCCTTGTTTCATTTTGCTTTTCCACATTTCCTTGCCAGTTTGTTTTTCCTCCCACAAGTGCTACTGGTGTCTGAAGCGAGTTCCAGGAAGGTCTAGGGCCTATCCGTGCGGCTGTCTCTTCCCGTCGATTCTGGCTTCTGAGTTCACTCGACAGAATAAGAAGAAGAAGAAAACAAATCTTTCTTTTTTAGTCCACATTGCGGAACTCTTACCACACATTGCCTCGCGATGGCCAGCCAGGCATCGCAGGGAGCAGATCTTACCACCGCTGCGGCTAATGCGGCCGCTGCGAATGCTGCGTCACAGCAGCATCCAGGCGGAGCACACGCGCAGCAGGTGGCTGGTTACCAGCAGGCAATGCACATGATGCACTTGCAGGGAGGACACGTGGCGAACGCTGGTGCAATGCCGCAGGGATACCCTCAACAGGTGAAGGGCTGCTTAAGCTTGTTAAGACCAAGCTTTATGAGAGTCTGGTATTTTGGTAGTTCTAATCAAGGATCAGACCTGATTGATTTCAAGAAAGGATCATATTTTTTTCACATCATGCAACTTAATCGAATATTCGTTTCATCGAACCTGTCAGCCATTATTGAAAACCGGCCGAAATTCTTTCCCTGAAATGGCCGAAGTCGGGATCGCTTTTGGGAAGGTGTTTCTTCCAGAAAATTTTCACGTGCAAATTTAACCTTTAGCACGTGTTTCTGACAATGTTTTGCAGATGCCTGGATCGTATCCGATGTACGCCATGGGTCCCATGGGGCCGGTTATGGTCAACCCTCAGATGTACGCCGCTTACATGCAGAACATGCAACACATGCACGCCGCTCAAGCTGCCGCCGCTGGTGCCGCCCAGAAACCCGGCGCATCAGCCGCAGCAGATGGTGCTTCGGAGGGAGGTTCGGCAGCAGCAGGTTCGGCAGCAGCTGGAGGAGGCATTGACGCGTTTGCGAGTCTGCTGGGCAGCACGGATCGTGCTCTGCTGGCGAAAGCAGGGGAGGCTGCGGCGCAGAAGATGCACGTGAAGGGCTTTAAGGGCCAGGGGGAGGCGGGCCAGGGAGCGACGGGGGAAACCGTGCCACAGCAACAGCAGCAGCAACAACAACAGCAACAACAACAGCAACAGCAGCAGCAGCAGCAGCAGCAGCAGCAGCAGCAGCAACAACAACAGCAGCATCAGCAGCAGCAGCAACAGCAGCAGTATCAGCAGCACCAGCAGCAGCAGTTTCAGCAGCAGCAACAGCAGCAGTATCATCAGCAGCAACAGCAGCAGTATCAGCAGCAGCAACAGCAGCAGTATCAGCAGCAGCAACAGCAGCAGGAGGGAGGTCAGCCTCTATCCCCTAGCGCCTCAGCCCCCCCAGCAGTAGCATCAGCACCAGCCTTTGCTCCCACAGGATCCCATCCAGGGCCACCCGGGGTTGCACCAAGCATGCGACCGGGGTTCCCTGCAGGAATACCCCCAGGAATGCCATCAGGGATGCCGCAATACCCCCAGTATGCGTACTATCCTGGGGGAATGCCCTGGTGGCCTCCAGGTGCTGTTCCAGGTGCCGTGCCTGGCGCTGCTCCTGGCTCAGTCCCCGGAGGTGCTTCAGGTGCGGCTCCAGGTGGAATTCCAGGTGCAGGCCCTGTTGCGGCTTCAGGTGTAACGGGAGCAGCGCCAGGAGCAGGGCCAGGCGAAGGTGCGGGCGGTGGAGCGAAGGAAGCAGCATCAGCATCAGCAGCAGTAGCAGGTGCAGGTGCAGCAACAGCAGCAGCACCTGAAGCGCCAGCAGCACCAGCAACCAAGAAACCTGCTGCTGCGCCTGCAGTGGTTGTTCCTCAGCCGCGTAACTTTGCTGCCCCCATCCCACTGTCGCTCTTCGGGGAGGAGGAGGAACCGGAGGAGGAGGTGAAGGAGGAGGAGAGCAAGCAGGAGGGAGAAGCATCAGCAGCAGCAGAATCAGTTGCAGCTGCAGAGGCGGTAGCAGCAGCGCCAGGAGCAGCAGCAGGATCGTCTCTTGAAGCTGATGCGGAGGAGGATGATGACTTTGGTGATTTCTCATCTGTCCCGTCTTCCACCGCAGCCCCCACTGCCTCTGCCGAGTCTGCTGCTTCCACCGAACCTGCTGCTTTCGCCGCTGCTCCAGTGGCTTCAGCAGCCGCTGTTCCTGCCGGTGTATCAGCCGCAACGGCAGGGACAGGGACAGCAGAGGAGGATGACGAATGGGGGGATTTCTCAGATTCTTTTGCTCCAGCTCCTGCTGCTCCTGCGACCCAGGCGAACCTTCCCCAAGCGGATGCTTCCCATACTCTCGCTTCCACTGCACCTGCTCCGGGTTTATCTGCTGCTGCTCTGCCCCACCCTGCTCCTGTCCCTTCAGCCTCGTCCTTCCTCGGTCCTATATCTCTGGCCGGCTTTCAAACCACAGCACCGGCACCGGCCCCAGCAGCAGCGGAAGCAGCAGCAGCGCCAGTGGCAGCGGCAGGTGGGGTTGGACCAGTGGAGCAGCAGCAGCAGGAGCAAGAGGAGGATGACTTTGCTGACTTTGTCTCTAGCAGGGAGACAGAAGCTCCCAAGGCAGCACAATTGTTGGGGACTCAGGCACCTGGAGACCTTCACTCCTTTGGCACTGGGCTGTCTACTGCCTTCGACTCTGCTGCTGCTGCTGCAGCACCCACATCCGCACCGCCCACAACACCCGCACCTGCACCCGCACCTGCATCCGCACTTGCATCCTTTTCTTCACCGGTGCCAACAGCCCTGGCATTCGACCCGGATGACGACTTTGGTGATTTCTCCTCCTCCCCGGCAGTCCCCCCTGCTGCCTTCGCGCCTGCCGTTGCTGCGCCTGCACCCGCTGCAGCATCTGGTCTGAGCATGGCTGCATCTGCCTCCCCCTTCCCTCCCTCCCATGATTCAACACCCCAGTTCTCTGCGCCAGGCTTTGGAGCCTTTGCCCCTCCTCCTGGCGCATCTGCTGCTGCTCCTGCTGCTCCGCCTCCTGCTTTCGCCCCCCCTGCTGCTGCCCCCACAGCAGCTGTAAACAAGGAGATCTCGTTTGACGATGATGACGACGATTTTGGGGATTTTGCAGGGAGTGTTGCTGTGAGTGGGAGTGCGAGCAGCGGGAGAGGGGATACTGCCGCTACGGGTGCAGTCTCCGCTTCCCCGGAATTTGTGGGGGTAGACCTCAGCAGCACTGCAGTTACCCCCGATCCGTCGCTTCGCCTGGATGACTCGGGTGCAGCGAATCCGGTGCTGGTGCCGAGTAATTCAGTGGCAGCAGCAGCAGAAACTGCAGCTCTAGCAGCAGCAATGTCCGAAACCCATGCTGCCGCTGCCGCTGCTGCTGGCGGTGCTGCTGGTGCTGATGGGGTTGCTTCTGCTGCTGCTGTTGGTGTTGCCGCTGGTCCGATTCCCCTCTCCCTCTTTGGGGATGACATGGCAGTTGCTGAGCTGGAGAACGCTGAGCTGTCACTCGGGCCGTTCCCTTCCACTGGCAGCAGCAAGCCATCAGACCAGGCCACCAGCACAGCCGCAGGCACAGGCATGGAAGCAGCAGGTGCAGGTGCAGGCACGGATGCATCTACCACTGCTAGCGTTGCTGCTGCTGGCGCTGCTGGTACTGGGAAATCAGGGAACTTGATGGATCTTCTGTCGTCCCTCTATGGAAGCTCATCTGCAGGCACGGCAGCAGGCACAGGAGCAGCAGGAGCAGCAGCAGCAGGAGGAGGAGGAGGGGCAGGGGGAGCAGGAGCAGGAGGGAGGCTGGAAGGGGGCCGGCTAGGTCAGACGTTCTCAACGGGGCGGGTGCCTTTGGCCATGGCGTCTGCGGCTGGGTATGGCGGTTTGTTCGGCCTGCTCTCCCCAGGAACCCCCCCCACAGATGTGCCTTTAAGGGGTTCAATGAGTGAACAGGTGGGGCAGAGAGGTGGGGGGAGGGGAGGGGTGGGAGGGTCGCTGTCAGGGGAGAGTGGGGAAGGGTGGGAGGAGCAAGGTGACGGGGTTGCGGGCGGCACGGGTTTGTCCTTTGCTGCAGTGGACAGCGGTGGCAGTTCCACCGGTGGTGGCGGCGGCGACGGTAGCGGTCCTGGCGCTTCAGGTGCTTCAGGTGCCCCAGGTGCCTCAGGAGGGCCTTCAGGTGCTTCAGGTGGTTCCTCAGGTGCTTCAGGTGCATCCTACCGCAGCAGCGGCCTCCCAGGGGGCGGGCTGCAGGGCCTGGCAGCAGACCACGTGCTGCCCATAGTGGGGGCTCAACTGGGGGAGGGCGTATTCACTGCCAGCATCACTGCCGCCCTAGAGTCCGTCCTTCAGCCCACAGTGATACGCCTGCCAAACGAAGCTTCCCAGAAGCGGTGGGAGGAGACGCTACAGGAGCTAGCGGAAGGGGCGGAGAGTGTTGCACGGAATGAGTTTGGGCGGCTGAGTGGGGAGCTGGTGAGGGAGGGGAGGATGGAGGAGGCGTATGCGTGCCGCCTGCATGCTGCAGCGGTGCAGCTGCTGCCTGACTGCCAGGGGCAGTACTCCATGGCTCTGGGGGATGGGCGAGTGGAGGCCGCCGCTGCTGTGAGGGAAGATATCAAGGTTAGAGCTCTCTCTTTCGCCCTTTTGCTCTCTCTATCGTGCTATCTCCTCTGCTCTCTCCTCTTCTTTCTCGCATGCTGCAGCGGTGCAGCTGCTGCCGGATTGCCAGGGGCAGTACTCTATGGCTTTGGGGGATGGGCGCGTGGAGGTAGCAGCGGCAGTGAGGGAAGACATCAAGGTCAGAACCCTCTTTTGCTGCTCTCTCTCTCCCTTGCTCACTAGCATGCTGCAGCGGTGCAGCTGCCGTCTGATTGCCAGGGGCAATACTCCATGGCTCTGGGGGATGGGCGGGTAGAGGCAGCAGCGGCAGTGAGGGAACACATCAAGGTCAGAACCCTCTTTTGCTGCTCTCTCTCTCTCCCTTGCTCACTAGCATGCTCACTAGTGAGGGAAGACATCAAGGTCCGTGCCCTCTCAATCAAACCCTCATGCTCTTCTTTACTCTCTTTGGCTCTCTTGTTGGCTCTCTTGTTGGCTCTCTTGTTGGCTCTCTTGTTGGCTCTCTTGTTGGCTCTCTTGTTGGCTCTCTTGTTGGCTCTCTTGTTGGCTCTCTTGTTGGCTCTCTTGTTGGCTCTCTCTCTTAAGCCCTCGTGCTCGAGGCATGGTGCGCTGCGTCCGTAAGGTGCCCTCTGTACTCGTGTGCTTCCCCTGGGCGTAAGGTGCCTAAAACGTCTTCTTTTCTTCATCACTCTTGTCTGCTTCCCCTGGGCGTCCTCTGTACTTCCTCCTGCAGCGGATGGAAACAGTGTTGGGCAGCCCAGCAGCAGTGGAAGGGTGGAGGGAGAGGAGGAACGCAGCAGCGCCTTCAGTGCCACCAAGCCAGCACGCAGCAGCGCCTTCAGTGCCTCCAAGCCAGCACGCAGCAGCGCCTTCAGTGCCTCCAAGCCAGCACGCAGATCAAGACGGTGGCGACAAAACAGCCACTGAAGGCGGCGAGGCAACCACCACCACAGAGGGTGGCAAGGCAGGCACAGAAGGCGGCAAGGCAACCACTGAAAGCAGTCTGGCTGGGAATGACACCGGATCTGAAGGGGCTGAGGGCGGTCTCACAGAGACAGAGGACAGCAGTTCAATCTCACTGGAAGGTGAGCCTATGAGATACCTGCACACGATCCTTGCCTTGTTGTCTCTGTTTACTCTGTATACTTTGTTGACTTTGTTGACTCTGTTGACTCCATTGATTGTTGGCCCCATTGAACCCCGTTGACTTTGCTGAATCTGACTCTGCTGACTCTGTTGACCCTCTCTGCTACAGATGGGGGAGTCCCTGCTACAGCTGAAGCCGCACCTGAGAGCAAGCCGGGGAGGGACTTGGCGTCTCTGCGGTGGGACTAGAGGTCGGTGGGGGAGATGGGGGAGGTGTGCCTAATCTGTTGACTCATATTCACCCTGTTCACCCTGTCTGCTGCAGCTGGAGTTGCATCTGATTCTGCCGGAGCAGCAGCAGAGAGCAAGCCGGGGAGGGACTTGGCGTTTCTGCGGTTGGACGTGCGGTCGGTGGGGGAGATGGGGGAGCTGCGCCTAATCTGTTGACTTTGTTGACTCTGTCTCACCCTGTCTGCTACAGCTGCAGGAGCAGCAGCTGCTACAGGAGACAGCAAGCCAGGGAGGGACTTGGTGTCTCTGCGGTGGGACGAGCGGTCGGTGGGGGAGATGGGGGAGCTGCTGGGGCGCAGCAAGGGAGACGCCAGGGCTGCCGCTTTCGACGGGGAGTTCAAGCAAGAAGATATATGTGATCTGGTGAGTGCTGATGGTGGGCAGAGGACTGGGTGGGGCACTGGTGGTGAGGCATTTGTGGTGTTTTGAGACGTCTCAAAACAACACTTTTATCACGTAAATATATGTGATCTGGTGAGTGCTGATGGTGAGCAGAGGACTGGGTGGGGCACTGGTGGTGGGGCACTGGTGGTGGGATGAGCTGTCGGTGGGGGAGATGGGGGAGTTGCTGGGTTGGAGCAGAGGGGATGCTAGAGCTGCTGCGTTTGAGGGGGAGTTCTAGCAAGCAAGCAGAGCCATGCGATCTGGTGAGCAGCAAGCAGAGCCATGCGATCTGGTGAGCAGCAAGCAGAGCCATGCGATCTGGTTAGCAGCAAGCAGAGCCATGCGATCTGGTGAGCAGCAAGCAGAGCCATGCGATCTGGTGAGCAGCAAGCAGAGCCATGCGATCTGGTGAGCAGCAAGCAGAGCCATGCGATCTGGTGAGCAGCAAGCAGAGCCATGCGATCTGGTTAGCAGCAAGCAGAGCCATGCGATCTGGTGAGCAGCAAGCAGAGCCATGCGATCTGGTGAGCAGCGGACTGGACGCGCATTGGGTGGGGATTGCGTGGGAGAGCTTTCCCTTGAGTTGACAACTCCCCCCTTGCGGTGGTTGGTGGGGGCCATAAGGGGGAGCTTGCTTCTTGGTGCAGCAGATGTGATGCTAGGGCTGCTGTGCTCAATAAGGAGCTCAATGCAACCCTATTTGGGAATCACTTTTGAGAATTCTCAAAAGTGAGCTCAATGCAACCCTAGCATCACATCTGCTCCTTTCCTCCCATCCGTGTCAACTCCCTCCTCATCCCCCACCCCCCAATTTCTTAGTCGACTCAAAAAGAGGTGATGCTAGGGTTGCTGTCTTCAATAGGCAGTTCCTAGGAGTTCCTATGTCTCCTCATGCCAAGCTCCTATGTCTCCTCATGCCAAGCTCCTATGTCTCCTCATGCCAAGCTCCTATGTCTCCTCATGCCAAGCTCCTATGTCTCCTCATGCCAAGATCCTATGTCTCCTCATGCCAAGCTCCTATGTCTCCTCATGCCAAGCTCCTATGTCTCCTCATGCCAAGCTCCTATGTCTCCTCATGCCAAGCTCCTATGTCTCCTCATGCCAAGCTCCTATGTCTCCTCATGCCAAGCTCCTATTTCTCCTCATGCCAAGCTCCTATGTCTCCTCATGCCAAGCTCCTATGTCTCCTCATGCCAAGCTCCTATGTCTCCTCATGCCAAGCTCCTATTTCTCCTCATGCCAAGCTCCTATGTCTCCTCATGCCAAGCTCCTATGTCTCCTCATGCCAAGCTCCTATTTCTTCCCCCCTCAGGCTGCCCGAGATCTCACAGCACACCCCCTCCCCTCCCCCCCCCCCCCCCCCCCCCCCCCCCCGTTATTTGCCATTCCCATCCTCTCAGGCTGCCCGGGATCTCACAGCAGCGTTCCTGTGCACCCAAGGGCCGTCGTCTGCTTGAACCTCTGCCTGCTTTTCCCACAACCCTCCCCCGACTGTACTTGCATTCATTCATGCCTTACCCCATGTGCCATCCCATCCCAATCAGGCCGCCCGGGATCTCACAGCAGCACTGCTGGTGCATTGAGAAGCTGTCTTCTGCTTGACCCCCTTCCAACCCTCCCCCCAACCTTCCCCTGATTGCCCTTGGATTGGTTGATCTGTTCCCCCGTGTCCCCTCCCCATCCCATCAGGCCGCCCGGGACCTCACAGCAGCACTGCTGGTGCACCGAAGGGCCGTCTTCTGGTACAACATTCTCTCAGCAGTTTCTGCAGCGGAGGCGGCGTCGTTTGTCCGGTTGTGGGGGGCTGTGGCGGCGCGGTGTGCAGATGTGCTAGAGGCAGCAGTGGGCGTGAAAGAGAAGGCTGCTGCTGATGGGGCTGCAACGCTCTCTGCTCTGCTCGATGCACCCAAAGGTGAGCGCACCGCTGTCTTTTTGTGGAGTCAAATACTAGGTGTGCAGATGTGCTAGAGGCAGCAGTGGGCGTGAAGGAGAAAGCTGCTGCTGATGGGGCTGCAACGCTCTCTGCTCTGCTCGATGCACCCAAAGGTCAGCTTTCCTTTGTTTTTTAGTGAGCTCGAAGATTGGTGTGCAGATGTGCTAGAGGCAGCAGTGGGCATGAAGGAGAAGGCTGCTGCTGATGGCGCTGCAACGCTCTCGGCCCTGCTCGATGCTTCAAAAGGTAAGAGAGTACACGGATATTGTTAGTATACTCCATGATAGGTGTGCAGGTGTGCAGACGTGCAGGTGTGCAGGTGTGCAGATGCAATATAGGCAGCAGTGGGCGTGCGGGAAAAGGCTGCTGCTGATGGGGCTGGCACGCTGTCTGCTCTGCTTGACACTCCCAAGGGTGAGTGAGTATACCATTATTTTTGCAAGGACTTCAATGTAGGTGCGCAGGCATATGTGATGAATGCCGAAGGCAGCAGTGGGCACGATGGAAAGGCCTGCTGATGGGGCTGGACCTCTCTTCTCTTTGCTCTGCTTGATGCACCCAAAGGCCGGCATTCCATTGCTTTTAGTCGATGGTGTGCTTGTTGTCATCGCTGTTTTTTCTTACGACTGTTTCCTGCTCCCCTCCCGCTTTTCCTCCCCTCTCCCCCTTCCTCCCCTCCCCCCCTTCCTCCCCCCCCCCCCCTTCCTCCCTTCCCCCTATTCCTCCCCTCAGCACGTGACTATTTCGCAGCCATCACCCAGACCTACGGCGTGCTTGTAGTCATCGCTGCCTGTGCCCAGCTGCACCGACCCTGGCTCTCTGTCAGGCTCGGCACAGGCTCGGCAGGTCCACCGTCAGGTTCGGGTGAATCTGGCAGCTTGGCAGGTCGGGGTTCTGGGGAGGGGGAGCAAGGGGGAGGGGATGGGGAGGGCGATATTCTATGGGCGCACCTGCTCAGGGGACAGGCAGCATGGCAGAATGGAGGGCTGGAAGCAGTGGCCAATGAGGTGCTGCCACGTGTCATGGTGCCGCTGTCATGGTCGGACGTGGAGAAGGTGCTGGAGGGCGCTGAGCTTGCAGCGGTGCAACGGGCTGCTGAGCTGGCGCTGGAAGGGCGGCAGAGACACATGGGGCTCGTGGGAGGGTCGGGGACTCTGCTGTGTGCTCTCACCCGGCTGCCCATCTTTGCCTTCACATGTAAGCCTCTCTCTCCCATCTCTCTCCCATCTCTCTCCCATCTCTCTCCCATGTCTTTCCCCATCTCTTGAGTCAACTAGAGAGTCACTTTGGGGGAAGGCATCTCTTGCGCACCTCCCATGTCGACTCGAATGTCACCTGGGGGACTCTGCTGTGTGTTCTCACCCAGCTGCCCATCTTTGCCTTCACATGTAAGTCTCTCTCTCCCATCTCTTTCCCATCCCTCTTTGAAGCCACTTGGGGGAAAGCCTCTTGCACATCTCCCATGGTGACTCAAATGTCACCATTAGGGCTGCTATGTGCTCTCGCTCGGCTGCCCATCTTTGCCCTCACATGTACGCCTCTCTTTGGCATCTCAATCGGGCCTCTCTTTGCAAATGGTTCTGTTCCACTCCTGTTTTTTTTGTAATTTACTCAAATTTAATAGAGAGTAGAACGCGTGTGGGAATGTTGTTTCCGTTGCGGTTTCAGAGTACTCTTGTTAATTGTTCCTCTCATGCTAAGATTTGAGTTTTTTCCCTCTTTTTTTCTTCCTTGCTGTATGCAGCGGTGGCAGCAGTGGAGTGGTATGGCCATCGTTACTTGCTTCCTGTGGCCAACTTCTGGGCGAACCACATTTCAAATGCCAGCCCGCTGATGCTTGTTGCTAGCTAAAGAATTGTGCATTGAGCTTTGCTATCTCTAGATTGACACTGCACTAAAAGCAAAAGCATTTCTTGGTTTCTACCGTTTAGATCGAGTGTCCTTAGGCGAATCACAGTTTCATCTCCCTTAGCGTCGCTACAGATGCGGAGGGGGAGTTGTAGTGGAGTCACTGTTTACTGTAACAAGAACTTTAGCGTGAGTTGTCTGGCATTCTACAGATATGGCCAGCTGGCTAATTTCTTCCTTTATATTTTCCAGCAATCTGGGATGAAATCAATACACTATATAACTGGAGTAGCCACTAGCTCTGATGGGCGGCACCTCTTCCAAAATCCTGCGCTCTCGTGACATACCTGGGGAATAGCTGTCGTCACGTTTAATTAAAACCTCCACTAGAATGTGTGAAAGCAAAAATGGGTCAGAGCAAAAAACGCAATTTTTGTAAACTTTCCACTTCCGAACCAGCACCGCGTTTGGCGTCGCACGAACGATCTGCACCAGGGGTCCGCAAGTGTCTCTGCGATGTAGGCATGAGTGGGCGACTGAGAGTTTGATTCGCACGATCAGCGCGTGTGCGTGTCCCGTGTGGTGGGGTGTGGTGGACAGTGAAGTTATAACCGCTTTGCCGTGCCACCACCACCATCATTCCGGCGATGTTCGGCTGCCACAGGGGATGGGGGGAGGGGATGGGATGGAGCATCAGAACGCCGAGCCTCCTGGTTCGATCTGTTCGAACCAGGCAGAACACTTCGGTCAGACATGAAAATTGTGGAAAAAAAGTGTCGGACGTGAGCCTAAAACGGGACGCGAACCTCGCGCTAGGCTTGAACCCGAGTCAACGACGGTTGACTCCGAGCTGACCACCCCGAACTAGAAACCCTAGCTGCAAATCTGATCCCTCCCCCCATCCCTCGGTCGATGCCTTGTGGCAGCCGAACATCGCCTCCATGCCATTCGATGGACCGAAGGTCCAAATCAAAGCACACACCATTCACTCGTTTGGCATAGCTGCCACCGACCAGAACAGTCTATTGTAGTGCAACTGCATCTGGTTCGGTTAATTTGCGGTTCGAAGGGTGTTCCAGTTCCGGTCCGACAATATCTTGGGGAACAGCGTCCGCCCGTCCTTCTTGGGCTAGTCCGTTCTTGGGAATGGAATTAACCGTTGCAAAAGACAAATTCCTCAATTGGGGGCCTTTGGCGATGAATACTGGTGGTCAGGAGGGCTCGCGACGTACAGACGACACTGTTGCGAAATGTAACAGGTTAGAACACAACACTCAGAGCCATTGCTGTGGTTCTTTAGAGAACTTGACTGACTGAAGCATCTACAACAATTTCCTAGGTCACTAAAATTATTCCTAAATTCTGGTAAAATAATTGCCAGCTTTTCCCTTCAGGACTTGACTGCCCCATTATTCGTTGCAATAAAGCGCTTTCAGGACGGCAGTTCCTATACTTGCAAGCAATCCTGTCGCTTCTTTTCCATATTGTACGGAGTGACAGTGGTTTCAAGTATCCTTCTCGTCCGTATTAACTAACACACAGAACGCGTTCTCAGCGCCTCGTAATCCTAGTCGTGGTAGGCCCCTCCCTGTATTAGCCTTACTGCTAGCGAGTGAACATAACGTCCTGAGGTCCCATGCACGAGTAACAGCGGCAGCAGAGAAATGGGAATGTAGGCGTCCTTTTTTTTTTTTTTTTTTTCTTTTACTTTTTTTTTCTTCATGGATGCTGGCCAATGGTCCAATAGCAGCGCAGCCGCCGCGTCGAATTAAAGGAGAAGAAAAATGGGTTGTTTCGTGTCGACATTAGGTACGTACGCCGATCCCCTATGTCTCAGGCTCTCGGTACACTCTGAATAGCGACTCGGCAATGGTTGTTGTCTAGGATCGTCTGGTCATAAGGCTTCGCTCGATCCGAAGCAATCCTGTTATCGATTCGCCGGAAACAGAAAGACTCACGTTGATAAGACTCACGTTTTGCCCGAAACAAAAAGAGAAAACTATGGATAAAAAAACCATTTTCTTTTCATTCTCAGAAAATCCGCCGTAACGCCGCGTACTCGCAAAAGTTGAGTATTGAGATTAAGTCGGCATTAGCCGTGTCTTGAATATGTTTTTTTGAGGCGGTTGGGCGTCGCCGACTCGAATGTAATGGTAACCCTAACATTTCCCTTTCCCGTTTCTCTTCCTACTATAACCTCGATTTTCCCGTCCCACCGTCCCCTCTCCATCAGACCACGGTGAAACAAGCGCAACAGTTATTGATAGCGGCGCCAGCAAGTCCGGATCCAGCAGCCATAATAAATCCTCTTTCCAAACCGCCGGTACCTCGCAAACCTCCGACAAATTTGTGTCTGCCGACAGTTCAAGCACGAACCTAAGTGCCAACGACAGTGCCAGTGCCAGCGCCGTTCCCAACCCCGCGAACCTCGTCCCGAGCTCCCTGCGACAGTTTACGTTCGCCGGACTTGAGTCTGCGACGAGCAAGTTCCATCGGCGAAACTGTATTGGCGAAGGCGGGTTCGGAGTCGTGTACCGGGGGGTGCTTCAGCCGGGTCCGAATGGGCTTGGCGCGGAGCCGACGGAAGTGGCGATTAAGAGGATGCGCGAGGCGAGCGATCGGTACACGGAAGAGTTTCTGGTGCGTGCGCGCGTGCGCGCGTGCGAGCGTGCGGCGAGTTGTTGTTGTTTTGGTGGTTTTCCCACCCACCCCACACCTCGTGTGTCTGCTGCATGGCCCCTACGTATCCCCACCCCTTGACAACCCACCACCCTCCCAGCTCTTGCAGAATGAGATGATCGTGCTGGGGCGGCTGTCCCACCCGCATCGTCTGCACGGCTACTGCATGGATCGCATCCAACCCATCCATCTTCCCAACTCAACTCCTCCAACCCTTCTCAATTCCTCCCCACCCTTCTCAGAAAGAAGTGATTGTGCTGGGGCGACTGTCGCACCCCCATCTTGTGCGTCTGCACGGCTACTGCATGGAGCGAGACGAAGCTCTGCTCGTGTACGAGTTCATGACTGGAGGGTGCTTGCACCGCGCGCTATCGGACAGTGAGTGGGGTGGTGGGGGCAGGGGGTGGGGAACTAGTTCACAGGAGACCGTACGTGGGGGGGTTCCGCCGCTCTGCTCGTATACGAGTTCATGACTGGAGGCTGCTTGCACCGCGCACTCTCGGACAGTGAGTGGGGGGATGGGGGTGGATAACCACCAATTTACAGTAGACTCGGATCTCTCCTCTCTCTGCTCGTGTACGAGTTCATGACAGGGGGCTGCTTGCACGGCGCGCTTTTGCGCAGTGAGTGGGGTGGTGGGGACAGGGAGTGAATGGGGTGCTACGGGTGGTATACCACCAGAGTAGAGTGGACTCAGCACTCTCCTCTCTCTGCTCGTGTACGAGTTCATGACGCGGGGATGGTGGGACTGTACTGTGCGCTATCAGACAGTGCGTGGGGTGGTGAGATTTTTTAGGCGCCTCAAAAGTTGTACTGTACTGTGCGCTATCGGACAGTGGGTGGGGTGGTGAAAAGCAAGTAGCTGCTTGTGTGGTGAAGTATGAGTGTGTCTCGCCCCTGTGCTCGTGTATGAGCGGCTGCTTGCACCTCTCAGCTCTCTCTCCTCGCTCTGCTCGTGTACGAGCTCATCACAGGGGGCTGCTTGCACCTCTCAGCTCTCTCTCCTCGCTCTGCTCGTGTACGAGCTCATCACAGGGGGCTGCTTGCACCTCTCAGCTCTCTCTCCTCGCTCTGCTCGTGTACGAGCTCATCACAGGGGGCTGCTTGCACCTCTCTGCTCTCTCCGTCCTCTCCGCGTTCTCAACCATCCCTACCTACCCTGCTGCCCTCTCTCTCTGCCCTCCACACCCGTTTCCCCAACTTCCCGCCTTCTCATTCCTCAATACAGACTCTTTAACTCCTCTTTCCCCGCCCCCCGCCCTCCTCTCCACCCACCAGGTTCGAGCGGGGAGCTCTTCTTCAGCTGGAACATGCGGCTCAAGGTGGCGGTGCGGGTAGCAGAGGCGCACATGCAGCTATGGCACGCCCCACCGTAGCATTCCTCGGTACCCACTCTCTTTCGTTCTCCCCTCCGTCCTTTCTCGCAGGTGCGAGCGGGGAGCTGTTCTTCAGCTGGAACATGCGGCTCAAGGTGGCGGTGCAGGTAGCAGAGGCTCTCGCATACATGCACGGACTGAACTTCATTCACCGGGATCTTAAAGCCGCCAATGTGCTGCTGTCACCGGTAAGGCCTCACGAGAGGGGAGGCGGGTGGCTTGGGGAGGCTCGGGGAAGGTGGCACCATATAGGTGCAGGTGGCAGAGGCGCTGTCGTACATGCACGGACTGAACTTCATTCACCGGGATCTTAAAGCCGCTAATGTGCTGCTCACGCCTGTGAGTGTGGGAGGATGGGCATTAAGGGGGGAAAGGAGAGGTGGGGGGAAGGGGAGGTGGCGGTGCAGGTGGCAGAAGCGCTGGCGTACATGCACGGACTGAACTTCATTCACCGGGATCTCAGCCGCCAATGTGCTGCTCACGCCTGTGAGTGCGTGGGGGGAAGAGGGAAGGGAACAGGTAGCAGAGGTGCTGGCATACATGCACGGACTCAACTTCATTCACCGCGCCTTGAAAGCCACCAACGTGCTGCTCACTCCCATGAGTGCGTGGGAGAGGTGGGAGGTAGCAGCGCGGGTAGCAGAAGAAGTTTTGAGACGTCTCAAAACTCGTTCCTGTGAGTGCGTGGGAGAGGTGGGAGGTAGCAGTGCAGAAAGCAGAAGAAACAATCTATCAGCGCTGCTCTCGCTGCTCTGTCAGCTGTCCCTCCTTTCCCCCAAGATTTCTCAAGAGACATCTCAAGAGCCAAGCTGTCCCCCCCTCCCCACCCCAAGCTTGTTTTAGAGATTTTTTGAATCTTCAACAACCCCCCTCTTGCCCTCTACGTCCAAGCTGTCCCCCCCTGCTCCCCCCCAAATCTCTCCTCTCGTCCTTTTCCCACCACCAACGCCACAGGACACCAATGCACAAGATGCGAAGCTGACGGGCTTTGGCATGGTGC